GCCTCAGATGGTTCTTGCGGCCCGCAAGCAGGGAGAGGGAAGGGCAGCAGGTCCCGGGTGGATGAGGGAGGGGCCGTGGGAAGCAGGGAAGCAGGTCTCCAGGGAGTGCCTGGAGGAGGACTGGGGTGGAGCGCCGCTGGAGGATCGGGCAGGCAACACAGCGGGCTGTTTCTCCAGGGCCTCGTGCTCCAAGCTCAGCTCTTGCTGCCCAACAGCAACGTTGTGCGCGCTTCTGCTCCGCTTCTGGTGCCTGCTGCTGCCTTCCGAGGGCTTCTGGAAGGACAGGGCTGGCTCTGAGGAGCTCCTGGCCATCCGGCGGAGATCCTTTTCCCAAGGAGGCAGCAGTGGAGGGGCGGAGAGGCATGTTGCATATGCCCCGCTCCCACTGGGGCTTCAGGCTCTGGGCTGTGGTGGGCAGCAGCATCTTCTTGAGCAGCAGCTGGGTGTGCTGTGGGCAGAAAGAGCCTGTTAGCTAGTTGTGAGGGGCCCTCTGAAGGGAAAGGGGGGCTTTCCCGGTGGCACCACGCAGCCGCAGCAGCCGGCAAGCTGCAACCTTAGCACCTATGGACGTGAGGGGCGGTTCAGGAGACACAAGGAGCCCCGGGGGCGATATTGTGCACGGGCAGAGCGCAGTTCTAGTCCATAGGGAGCAGCACTGTGAAGAGCAGAGCAGCTCTACAGGTGGTTAGCACTTTTGTGGAGTTAGCACGGTCTGTCTCAGCTTCGGGAAAGGCTTGCAGCACAAAAGCACTGCCATGAGCTACGGGACCCTCTGCACCTCTCTGCCTTGCCACAGGCCTCTTCTGAGAGCCAGCTGCAGAACTGGAACCAGCAGCCCTGGCCAGTGCCCGTCCTCAGTGCGGCCTCCTACCTGTGGAGCTGCCGGTGTGCTCGGGGGACTCGTCGGCAGCGGGGCTGCCGGGAAAGGCCATGTCCTCGCCAAACACTGCTGTGCAGTTGTCAATGAGGAACGCCACCAGCACCGTCACCTGCACACAGAAAAGCATGGACGTCAGGGCAAAGGGCTGAGAACGCGCTCCACAGGCTTGCCTGCTCCTGACGGACGTTCGTGTGCCAAAAGCTGTGCAGCTCTGGGGCTGCAGCTCCAGGAAGAGATTTGCTTGTCACACTGTGGATAGCCCAGCTGAGGGGTGCCCCGCATGCTCCCCAGCTAAATGCGGCTGCATTTAGCTTTTGCAATGGCCGTGCGACGGGTGGCCGTGCCCCAAAGTGGGGAGCTACCTGGGGAGTCCAACATACCTTGCTGTTCATCTCCATCTGCACTTGCAGCGGCAGCGTGCTCTCCGTGCCTGGGCTGAGCAGGCTGGGCCCAAGGCAGATGGCAAGATTGCTGGAGTCCATCCTGTTGGTGTGTGCGCTCTGGCTGATGCGGTGGAGTACAGCAAGCAAAGGCTTGAGCAAGAGGACATGTGGCCGGGGCAGCTGGTCCGCCACCCTACGGGAACACAAACAGAAGGTGCCGTGACTTCAGGGGGCAGTGGCCGCTGCCTCTTGCTGGGCGCACGTCTCAAGTTTCCTCCCACAAATGGCGCGTCCTCCAAAGAGAGCAACGCCTCTGCTTCCTTTCACTACTTTACACAAGGCCGCTTGAGAACCCCCCAACGGCAGCTGAGCAGCTGCTGAACTACAAGGTCTGGAGTGGCAAGATCTTGCCCAAAAGGCAGGCGTTTCAGCACCCTCCCTGCTTTTCAGTCGTCCACAGCGTGAACAGAGGCGAGGTTGTCAGGAGATGTTGCGGGAGGCTCTCCCAGGCACTGCCGAAGGCAGGCACTGCCTACCGCACTTACTCTCTCAATTCTGCAATTTTTTCCTCCCTGCTTGGCTTGTCCAGAGCCAGCATCCACTTCTCATACAGGGCCGCTGACAGCAGTGTGGAGGGGATGCTGCGGAGGAAGTCCTGCAAGGCCAAGACACAGAGGTGAGGCTTTGGCCATCAGCCCTGAGCCCAGGCGGAGCATCCCCGGCCCTCGGGCTCCCGACGAGGCAGCTTGCTTTGAGCTACCTGCTCTCCAAGGCGCTCGTGGCCACTGGCAGAGCAGTGGCGTGCTTGCCCGCACTTGTCTGAGGGCAGCAGCAGGCCCTGGTGCCTATCAGCCTTGAGTCTACCCCAAATCTCCCTCTTCCTCCCTGAGGAGGGTGCTGGCGAGCAGGAGCAAGTGCGTTTGCCTGGGGCAGGCAGGAAATCGGTGGCACAAGAAGGCACACTGCAAACCAGGTGGAAACCACAGCTGCCAAGCTTTCCCCAGCCTGACAACATGTGGTTTGCCTTCCCGCGGGTTGCAGCTCTGAGCCCCCCCGGGCCCATCTAGGCCCTCGAGTGGGCCCATGCCGGCTCGCAAAGTACTCGCACAGCTGCAAGGCAGAAGAATTCACCTTCAAGACGACTGCCAGGAGGTGCACGGGCTTGCTTTCCAGCTCCACGGGCCCTCCTTGGTTGAGGGCCTCCTTCAGGTCCCTGCGGGCCCTCTCATTGGCAGCTTTGCGGAATATGCCCTCGCTGGCAGGTCCTTCCCTGTACAATATGGCCAGGAGATCCTGCAGGAAAAAGCAAGCAGCGGTGGCAGAAGCGTTCCTCGGCTGCAGAAAGGCCCGGGAAGGGAGGGGACGGGAGCTTCAGGCCTTGCCGGTGAGAAGGGAGCGGCCAGGGCAAAGCCCCACATGCCCTGTCTGCTGAGAGTCACGGCCCAAGCACTGCGCACGCTGCCTCGCGCGAGAAGCTGGGAGCAGCATACCTGCTGCACGGCCAGGCTGGCTTACCTGGACCGGCTGGGGCAGGCTCTCCTCTTCCGCGCAAAGCCTTGCCAGAGGCTGCCCAAAGAGAGGGCTCCTGAGGCCAGCCTGCGGCTGCCCTGGGCAGCCCCCGTTGGCCGAGGTGTGCCTGCGAGCAAACGGCCAGGGCAGCAACGTCTTCCTCTTGCGAGGCCCATCAGCTGCAAGCCAGACGAAAGCAAAAGTCAGGCTCCAAAAGCAGGAGGAGAGGTGTCTGCGTGCAGTGCCGTGTGCTGCCGACTGAAGAGGGTTTTGGCATGGCCAAGGTGCTGGCCGGCGGGGCAGCAGGGGCTCGTGCTTTAGAGCCGCTGTCGAGCGCCATGGGAGAAGGCAGATCCTCGGTTGCTCTTTTAAACTCACCAGGCCCGCAGCAAAGTCCCTCTTCAGGAGGTGATGGGACCAAGACAGGGCCCTGGGTGGTGCCAGCCTGCAAGAAACGGGTCCAGGTTACAGAGCCGCCCCGCAGCAGCAAGGGCTGCCAGCGAGTCGCTGCAGGGTGCCGAGAGGGTGCCGAGAAGGCACCAGGTGCCCAAACATGGCCCGGGGCACAGGCTGCCCTCCC